CATGGCCTGGCCATATATCCTTAAAGAAGAACTGACATGTTATTGGGAAGATAGAAGGAAACAGATAAATGGTTTAGTGGGTCCTGTAGTAATACTGTGTGTGTGTGTGTGCTTTCTCAAAAACAGGTAAAGTCCTTCCTGGGGTGGATGCTCTCAGCAGTATTTAGTAGTTTCCTGCCTTTTGGTTCCTGTGCACAGTCCCTAAGTCAACTTAGTGTTTTCTGCATCTTCACTTGGCATTAGCTAAATACTTCCCCTATGTCAAGATTCAGCTAGTGGTCAAGAGATGGCAGTGCCAGGAACCCTTAAACAGTTGCAGTGCATCTCAGCTTATCCTTACTATGCCCTGGATTTGCCTACATTCTTCAAGATCCCATTTGAATTGTGCATTCTAGATTTGCATATATTTATATATTGCCTGTTAAAAGAAAGTGAGCTGCTTAGTTCACTTTTTGAAGTAGGTTATTCTGATTAGCTTTGTCATTGTCTTGCTACTCAGTGTGGAAACAAGATGGAATTCCAGTTGTAGGGAGGTAGGGAGATGCAGTTGGTGATCTGTTATATAAATAATAAAAGTATCCTTTGAAACTGGAATTTTTTTTCCTGTCATTCTTTGTTAGGGTGAGACCAGAACCTTGAGGAAGGGGTCAAATCATCTATGTTTCTGAATGCAAGAAATGGGGCAACAGCAACGGGGAGGTAGGGGGATTAGATAAATGTCTGTTCTTATTGAGGTCCTTTATGTCAGACACTGATAGGTGCTTAATTTAATTTATTTGCTACATGTTTTATTGAAGTATGGTTGATACACAATATTATATTGGTCTCAGGTGTACAACATAGTGATTCTGCGTTATTAAATGCTCACCCCAACTAGTGCAGTTACTGTCAACATAAGAAGATGTTATAGAATTGACTGTATTCTCTATGCTGTACTTTCATCCCTGTGACTAATTTATATTATGATTGAGATTTTGTGCTTTTCCCTTTCACCTATTTAACCACCCCCCATTCCAATCCCTCCCCTGTGGTAACCACCAGTCACTTCTCAGTGTCTATGAGTCTGCTGCTTTTTTGTTCATTTTAGTTGTTTTGTTTTTAGAGTCCACAAATAAGTGAAATTGTAAGTATTTGTCTTTCTTTGCCTGGCTTATTTCACTTAGCGTAGTACTGTCGAGGTCCATCCATGCTATTGTAAATGGCAGGATTTCTTTTTTATGGCTGAATAATATTCCACTATACTTAAATTTTTATTTTTATCTATTACCCATGACCACAATTTAAAAAGTCAAGACTTACCAAAGAAAAGGCCTCAGCCCAATCCTCCCATTTGTGGTTCCCCACAGGTGACTGCTCTCAACTGTTAGCTTTTTTCTTGTATTTACCTTCATGTTTCTGAGTACTTGTCTTGATTTTCTTAAAGAAGATATCTCTTAATTTCATACATGGGAAGATTTAGCTTTCTTACAGCTTGTGTTCCACATGTACTTCCCTTTCATCGTTCTCCCAATAGAGTTTCATCATAATTCAAGTCTTTGTTGTAATGATAAATACTAGCTAAAGCTATGTTCTATGCTATGGCTATATTATGTGCCTTTTTATTTTCTTTGGGGTTAATAACAGTTTAAGAAATGTTCTTTCTATGTATCTGTCACTTACTGATTCATTCTCAGTAAATTCAAACATACGAGACAGTCCATTTTAATTAGAGGTGCACCTCCTGGAGTCTGTGTTCCCATTCTGGTTTGTCCTCTTGCTGTACAGCTGTTGCTCTGGAATTCCCTCTTTCTGGATGAAAAGCCTCTGGGGTAACCCTCAGTTACCTTTTACCTCCTTTGTTGGGCCACCTCCCCTTTCCTGGATCCCTTGTCCCCCCTTTCTTGATTTACTCTCATTTTTGTAAAAAATAAGACTCCACTAGCTTCTTGAGAAGGCGTGCTTGGGAGGCGAAATTCTTGAGACCTTATATATCTGAAAATGTCTTTATTCAACCCTTAACACTTGCCTGTTTCATTATATGTTGAATTTCAGCCTACATACCAGTTTTTCAGACTTGAAGGCTTTGCCTCATTGTCACTATTGAAAATTTAATGACGTTCTGCCCTGGATTTTAGCCTGAAGGCCAAGATCAAGTCTGATTCTCATTCTTTTTTTGCCCTTGTACTTTCCCCCTTTGTCTTTCCTGTCATTTTAATGGGGTTTTGGGAGTCTGCAGAAGTAAACACACGTGGTTTCAAGGGGTCATTTTTAACCAGAATTTCTCTGCTGGGCATTTTATGTACAAGGTAAGTATTTCACCTTTATGGATAAAGAAATAGTTAAGCTCTTGGACAGGATCAGAGAGCTTATAAATAACAGCGGGATTCATGTCCAGGTTTGTCTGACTATAAAGGCTGCACTTTTTCATTGTGCCTCACTCCCTGAAATGATGCTTCTAGACTAGGACTTTTCTTACCTAGTCCTAGGTAGAGAAAACCTGTAGAGAAAAGCTAACTCTGTAGAGAAAAGCTAACTCTGTAGAGAAAAGCAAAAGTAAATTTTGGTGGTTACTCTGAAAAAATTTTTGAAGGCTTGAAGTTTTCCTTAATTTTATTTGTATTTTAATTCTGTCCCCATAATTGTAGTTAATTTTAAAGTGCACCATGTTTCTGCATACCTCTAATGGTACCTGGTTTGAGAAGCAGGAATTCTTACTCCAATCCTTTGAGTCCCATAGATGCTACCCATAGATACAGCAAACTAATGTCACAGCTAGGCTAGAACTCCCAACATACTGATGACTTTTCCCCTACTGATTACCTTTCTGACAGCATTTTTCCCAGCATTGTATCAAATGTACAGAGGAATGAAAATAATTGTATATTACAACCCCAAAAACCCTAGCACTTAAGACTCTACTACTGCCAGTTCATCTGTCAATCCTCAATTGTCCCTTTTAAGTAATTTCTACTGGGCTCTGCTTTTGGGATCTTTCCCTATGTATTTGGGTCATTAATCCAGGGAATAAATGGGAAAACACAAGTAAGCTAATATTTTGAGTACCTGCTTATGTGCTTAGGACATAATGAAGGTCATAAAGATAGCATTTATCAAACAATAAGGCTTCTCTCTCACTTACCAACTTTACATTTCCCTGTATGGCCCCGGAAGATGACTGGTTAGCCAGAGACGGGTAAGATTCCTCAAGGGAGGAACGACCTAAGACAGGCACAGTCGCAGGGGGGCCAACAGGTGAGAAATTGGGGATCAACAGAGGTGAGGCTCAGAACCTCACCCCCCCTGCTTTGAGAGAAATCTTCTGCATCCGTGGATGTCTTGCTGCCCTTGTCTAGCCTGGATTAATACTTAGTCCATAGGCACACACCTGATCATCTGATCATCTACATTTGCCTTCTTACAGCACTAAACTATGTTTTCTACCTTTATCTTGCATCTACCTACCACTTCAGCATTTTATTAAAAATAAAAATAATAATAATAATAGGAGAAATGTGGGATCAACATATAAATCAAGTACAAAAATCAAA